TCAAAAGAAACCTGAGGTGGCAATCCTTATATCAGGTAAATTAGATTTTAAACCAAAGACTATAATAAGAGAGGAGGAAAGACACCATATCATACTCAAAGTGTCTGTCCAACAAGAAAATCTAACAATTTTAAATATCTATGCCCCTAACATGGGAGCAGCCAATTATATAAACCAATTAATAACAAAATCAAAGAAACACATCAACAGTAATACAATTATAGTAGGGGACTTTAACACCCCCCCTCACTGAAATGGACACATCATCTAAGCAAAAAATCAACAAGGACTTAAAGGCTTTAAATGACACACTGGACCAGATGGACATCACAGATATATCTGAACATTCCATCCCAATGCAACAGATTATACATTCTTCTCTAGAGCACATGGAATATTCTCCAGAATAGATCCCATTCAGATCACATTCTGGGTCACAAATCAGGTCTCAACTGGTACCAAAAGATTGGGATCTTTCCCTGCATATTTTCAGGCCACAATGCTCTGAAGCTAGAACTCAATCACAAGAGGAAAGTTGGAAAGAACCCAAATACATGGAGGCTAAAGAGCATCCTATGAAAGAATGAATGGGTAAACCAGGAAACTAAAGAAGAATTTTAAAAATTCATGGAAACAAATGAAAATGAAAACACAACTGTTCAAAGTATTTGGGACACAGCAAAAGGGGTCCTGAGAGGAAAGTATATAGCAACAGGCCTTTCTCAAGAAACAAGAAAGGTCTCAAGTACACAACCTAACCCTACACTTAAAGGAGCTGGAAAAATAACAGCAAAGAAAGCCTAAACCCTGCAGGAGAAGAGAAATAATAAAGATTAGAGCAGAAATCAGTGAAATAGAAACCAAAAGAACAGTAGAACAAATTAAAGAAACTAGGAGCTGGTTCTTCAAAAGAATTAATAAGATTAATAAAACCCTGGTCAGACTTATCAAAAAGAAAAAAGAGAAAGGACCCAAACTAACAAAATCATCAAAGAAAGAGGAGAGATCAAAACCAGCACCAAAGAAGTACAAACAATTATAAGAACATATTATGAGCAACTATAAACCAGCAAATTTGACAATCCAGAAGAAATGGATGCATTCTTAGAGACATAAACTACCAAAATGGAACCAGGAAGAAACAGAAAACCTGAACAGAACCATAACCACAAAGATTGAAGCAGTCATCAAAAATCTCCCAACAAACAAGACCCCAGGGTCAGATGGCTTTCCAAGGGAATTCTCCCAAACATTTAAGAAGAATTAATACCTATTCTCCTGAAACTGCTCCAAAAAATAGAAATGGAAGGAAAACTTACAAACTCATGTTATGAGGCCAGCATTACCTTGATCCCCAAATCAGACAAAGACCCCATCAGACCAATATCCCTGATGAACATGGATGCTAAAATTCTCACCAAAACACTAGCTAATAGGATCCAACAGTGCATTAAAAGGATTATTCACGACAACCAAGTGGGATTTATTCCTGGGCTGCAAGGTTGGTTCAACATCTGCAAACAAAGCAATGTGATACAACACATTAATAAAAGAACAAAACCATATGATACTCTCAATAGATGCTGAAAAGCATTTGACAAAGTATAGCATCCTTTTTTGATCAAAACTCTTCACAGTGTAGGCATAGAAGGTACATACCTCAATATCATCAAAGACATCTATGAAAAACCCACAGCGAATATCATTCTCAATGAGGGAAAACTGAGAGCTTTTCCCTTAAGGTCAGGAACACAGCAGGGCTGTCCACTATCACCACTGCTATTCAACATAGTACTAGAAGTCCTAGCCTCAGCAATCATACAACAAAAAGAAATAGAATGCATCCAAATCAGCAAAGAAGTCAAACTCTCACTCTTTGCAGATGATATGTTACTTCATGTGGAAAACCCAAAAGACTCCACTCCGAAACTGCTAGGACTCATAACAGGAATTCAGTAAAGTGTCAGGATATAAAATCAATTCTCAGAAATCCATTGAATTTCTATACACCAACAGCAAGACAGAAGAAAGAGAAATTAAGGAATCAATCTCATTTACAATTGCACCCAAAACCACAAGATACCTAGGAATAAGCCTAACCAAAGAGGCAAAGAATCTGTACTCAGGAAACCATAAAGTACTCATGAAAGAAATTGAAGAAGAAACAAAGAAATGGGAAAATGTTCCATGCTGATGGATTGGAAGAACAAATATTGTGAAAATGCCTATGCTGCCTAAAGCAATCTACACATTTAATGCAATCCCTATCAAAATACCATCAATTTTTTTCAAGGAAATGGAACAAATAATCCTAAAATTTATGTGGAACCAGAAAAGACCCCAAATAGCCAGAGGAATGTTGAAAAAGCAAGCCAAAGTTGGTGGCATAACAATTCCAAACTTCAAGCTCTATTACAAAGCTGTCATCATCAAGACAACATGGTACTGGAACAAAAACAGACACATAGATCAATGGAACAGAATAGAGAGCCCAGAAATGGACCCTCAACTCTATGGTCAACTAATCTTCGACAAAGCAGGAAAGAATGCCCAATGGAAAAAAGACAGTCTTTTCAACAAATGGTGTTGGAAAAATTGGACAGCTACATGCAGAGAAATTAAACTGGGCCATTTCCTTACACCACACACAAAAATAGACTCCAAATGTGTAAGACTGATGATATCCCTGAAGCAAATAATGCATTATATGTTAATAAAATAAAAAAAGAACTATTATAGGAACAATGTTTGAAAATTATCCAAAATAAAATTTAATCTCATTTCTTCTTAAAATAAAATAGATAAAATTCATAAAAATTTAAAAAATAAAATATGACTAAATTCTTTTGTTACTGAATTAATACAAAGGTATATAAATGTAGCATTTAGTGAATGATTAAGGTATTTGTGGTGGTCACATTAGTGAGGTACTCAAACCTCCCTTTCAAAGAACTGCTGGGAGAAGGAAAGGTAGTTGGCAGATAGCCTTTAGCTGCTACACCTTCAGATCTATCTCCAAAATCATCCAGAAGCCAAACTCCTATAATGCTTCTTTAATGACCAAGGATGCTCCTATAATAACTGAACTCCACAAGGACACGATAGCCAAACTACCCCTGCCTGTCATAGGACACTTGTGATGTGACAGGCAATCTTTGCTCTAAGGCTCCCCACTGACCTGTCTCAGAGTATCTCAGGGATTCATTTTGGTCTGATGACCATCTTACCAAATACTCCTTCCTTTCCTCTTTCATTTCAAAGGTATCAGATATGCAGGTTAATCTGAATTCTCTCCTTGCCTACTCTGGCTTCCTCTTTACTTAAAATTTTCCAGCATTTCCCCCAATGAATCTCTTGCATGTCTAATTCTTTTTTTTAGTATCTGCTTTTCAGAGAACCCCAAGTACACTGTATTGCATTATTACTTCAGCCTAGAAGGATACATTCCACTCCCTGTGTGTAAGGGCAAGAGGTTCGCTTGAAAATGAGGTCATGTGTTATGTAAATAATCATTCCTGCCAAACATGGGGGGTGGGAGGACAGATAAAGTCCAAAACATAAAATAGAAAACAAAACCTGAGAAAAAGAGGGAAAAAATTGCAGAACTTTAGCCAAGAAAAGGAGTATTTCTTTCACCGTTGGCCAAGAAAGTGGAGTGAACATAGTTGATTATTCTTTCCTCTCTGCCACCACTAAGCCTTAATGCTATCATTTCATTTATCTTACCATATTATCTATAGATCTCTCTCCTATTGCACTTATTTTTGAAGGTCAAGAGAACATCTTATTTATCAATGAATTCATAAGACCTATCACAATACCTGAAATATAATATACCTTTCTAAGTATCTTTAAATGAAGACAGTTTCAAAATACAGTTTAAACAATTAGATTCAGAAAATTAAAACATAAGTTTATTGTCCATATTTCTGGGTTCTCAGTTGTCTTTTGTCTTGTAAACTGAAGAACTAAAATCGGGGGGGAAATGTTCAAGTTTATTTATGAGAAAGCACTTTATAAAGTATAAGCTCCAAATATAAGTTAGGATGTAAATGATGTTGGTGATGATGAAAACAAAAATGATAATGGTGATGACTAGAACTGAAGTTTCCTAGGACTTACGGGCAACAGAGCTGACTAGGAGAGGAAGGACATTTTGTATGTTTTCACAGACACTCATGCATCCATCACCACTACCCAAATTCATTTTTACTAAGCTGATGATTACAAGTAAAATCATAGAGAGGAAAAACAAGATACAGTGCAAAACAAACCAAAAAATTGCCTTCTTTCATCCCATAATCTTCATAGTTTTTTCTAGAAAGGTCTTTATTAAAAAAAAAAAAAAAAAGAAGAAGAAGAAGAAGTTATGGCTTGCTCATACCAAAGCTCAAACCCAGCTTTACTTATGAACTGAATAGTTAATGATTGACAAAGGATATACCTATCAGATTATTGGAAGTCTCGAGTTATTTCCATTTTATCCCCATGCCATATGGAATTCCCTCCCCCATGAGTGTGAGCTAGCCTAGTGGTTTGCTTCTAACAAATAGTGTACAGTAAAGGTAGCCTACATAAGATTATGGCTTCTATCTTGTTAGCTTGTCCCTCCTGCTGGCTTTGATGAAACAAGAAGCCATGTCGAAAAGGCCCTCGTGGCAAGGAGCTGAGTGCTGTCCAACAGCCAGACAGGAACGGAATACTGTCAACAACCACATGAGTTAGGAGTGGATTCTTCCCTACTTGAACATTCAGAAGAGACTCCAGTCCTGGCTGATACCTTAACTGAAACCTCCTGAAGCAGACACAACTAAGCCATGCCTAGACTACTGACACACAAGGATGGCAAGATAACAGATGTGTACCATTTTAAGCCGCTAAAATTGTAATGTGTTACACTGAAAGAGAAAACTAATACATTACATTTGGAACACAGTCATTTATCATTCATACTTCTTGAACCTTTCTGTTGAATTACAAAAACAAAACATTGAACTTACTTGGAATGTAGGAAAGATGCAAATATCCCTTGCTTCCCTTCAGTGTTATACAAGGTTTAGGTTCTATTGAAATAGGGACTTTCATGTCATCTAAATGGAAGAATAAAGGTAATGTCAATAAATTATTATAAATCATTTCTAGTAAATAGAGTATTCTGAATATCATTCCCCCAAAAGAAGCCATTAAAATCATGTAATGAGAAAAATTGAGGGTGGTTAAAAACATCTCCCTCACTGGAGGAGTGACATCAACAAAATGGCAGAGCAAGGAGTCCAAGACCCCCATTCTCCTCACAAACATACCAATTCAGCAACAACTCAAGGACAAATTCCCTTTTGAATAATTGGAAACTAATTGAAAGTTTCCTCTATCACAGGAGAATGTGAAATCAGACTCATCAAAGTCAGCAGGGGATATCCTTTTACCAGAAACTCTGCATCTGGCACAGCAAAATCAGGAGAAGATCCCCTAGCCACCAGCTTCACTCAAGAAGCAAGAGGTTGGTTCAGTATCCAGATCCCCAAGTTTCCCAAGAATAACCCAAAGGAATGACAAATTAGAAAGTCGAACAGACCTATAACTAATAAGGAGATTGAATAAGTAATCAAAAATATCCCAATAATAAAAAAAAAAAAGCCTAGGACCAGATAGCCTCACAGGTAAATTCTACCACCAAACATTTAAATTAAGAATTAATACCAATCCTCAAAATCTTTCAAAAAATTGAAAGGGACCATTTCCAAACTTATTTTATGAGCCCAGCATTACCCTGACACTAAAAACCAGACAAAGACGTCACAAGGAAAGACAACTATAGACCAATATCTCTAATAAATATAGATGTAAAATTCCATAGAATGAAGGATAAAAATCACATGATTATCTCAACAGATACAGAAAATGCATTTGACAAGATTTATTCATTTTTGTGATAAAAACTCTCAACAAACTAGGATTAGAGGAAATGGCCTCAAAATAATAAAAACCATCTACGAAAGTCCATAGCTAATGTTACACTCAATGGTAAAAAACTGAAAGTTTTTCCTCTAAGATTAGAAAGAAAGCAAGGATACCCACTCCTTACATAGCACCCGAAGACCTAGTCAGTGTTAGGGCCAATTTAATGTTGAAACCTGTTTAACTATTAGGGCCTGCTTAGCTAGAATGACTCCATATTGCCTAGGTAGCCATATTGTTGTGTACATCCATGGACTTCATTCCGGGAATTAAACGCCCCAGCAGTTCTAAATGCCCCAGCACGCCCCAGCAGTTCCAAACATCCCAGTAGTTCCTGGTATTGGTTCCGGGTATCGGTTCCGGGAATAAATGCCCTAACAATAGAAGCCACGTACCTTGAGCTCTGTGGTTATGTTCTATAAAACCAGCCTGTGAGATCGGGACGGGGTCGCTCTCTTCAGAGGCGGCCCTGGCTGGTCAGTCTGACTTCTAATGCTTGGCATAGAATAAAGCTTTGCATAACTTTCACTTTGTCTCAGTCTCGTTCCTTAAATAACGGACCCCAACTGTCAGATCAATTAGGCCACAAAAATGAATGAAAAGCATCCAAATTGGAAAGGAAGAAGTAAAATTTTCCTTGCATGCAAACACGATTTCATTTTTTTTTTTTTAAAGATTTTATTTTGGGGGCACCTGGGTGGCTCAGTTGGTTAAACCACTAGGGTCCTGAGATAGAGCCCCACGTTGGGCTTCCTGCTCCACAGGGAGCCTGATTATCTCTCTCCCTCTGCCTGCCTCTCCCCCTCCTTGTGCACGTGTACTCTGTCAAATAAATAAATTAAATATTTAAATAAATAAATAAATGAATAAATAAAATTTGGCCTATATATACAGTGGAATACTATTCAGTCTTAAGAGAAAGAAAGAAATTTTGCAATATGCTACAACGTGAATGAATCCTATGAACATTATTTAAGGGAAATAAGCTGGTCTTATAAGGACAAATATTACATGATTCTACTTACATGAAGTATCTAAAACAGTCAAATTCAAAAAACCAAAGAGTGAAATTGTGGTTGCTAGGGGCTGAGGGGGAGGGGGAAATGGGGAATGACTAACCAACAGGCATAAAGTTTTAGTCAAGCAAGATAAGTTCTAGAGCTCTGCTGTATGACATTGTGCCTATGGTCAACAATATTGTGTTGTACACTAAAATACTGAAGAGGGTAGATCTCATGTAAGGTGTTCTTACTACAGTGAGATCGATTTTAAAATATTGTATAAATACAGAAAAGAAACCTCCCTATAACATAAATAGATTAGTATTCTAATCCCCTAATACTGTTAAGGTGGAAGTTGAAGATACTGAATTACTTTAAGCGGTGTGGAGAAAAAAACTCCCCAAAAGATATTTTCATAAAATTACTTGTTCTATCTTGGAACTTTTTAATCTTTTCCCATCAACATTACTCTCCTTTTATACACTCTCTTCACGTTGTGTATGTTACAATGGTTCGAGATAGAAAATATACGTCAGGTAATTAGAGATCTAGGAAATGTTAAGCAAGTGAATAAATGAATGGATAAATTAGTGAACAGTCTTTCTGAAGAAGGGGTTTCAAGAAAGGTGTAGAAGAAGAGTTCATAAAAGCACTGAGGAGGAGGAGAGATGATACCAGGTTTGTGTGGATTTGCCCCTGAATACAAGCCTTAAGATTAATGTTAGGGGCTCCTGGGTGGCTCAGTTGGTTAAACATCAGACTCTAATGGTTTCAGTTCAGGTCATCACCTCAGGGCCATGGAATCCAGCCCACAAAGGGCTCTGTGCTCAGTGCAGAATGTTCTGGAGAGTCTCTCTCTTCCTTTCCCTCTGCCCCTACCCCTGTTCACACTCTCTAAATAAAAAATTTTTGAAAAAAAAAAATCAATGTTAATATCTCTCATTCAATTAGTTTAGTTTATCTGCAACAAAATCCTCATAGAATGAATTATATTAACAGTCATCTCACCTAATCATGGATGTTCACAAATATTAGACCAAAAGATGTTCATCCCTAAAAGGTTTGTCACTTTTTATACCCAAAAGATGTTCATCCCTAAAAGGTTTATTTATCCCAAAGAAAAAATACCCACTTTGCAACACAGATTGACTCTGAGGGCATTATACTAAGTCAGACAGAGAAAGACAAATACCATGTGATCTCTCTGGTATGCAGAATCTACAAAACACTAAATTTATAGATACAGAGAAGAGATTGGTGGTTGCCAGAGGTGAGGAATGAGCATGGACAAAACAGGTGAAGGTGGTCCAAAGGTATAAACTTCCAGTTATAAAATAAATAAGTCCTGGGATGTATAAGGCATGGTGATTATAGTTAATAAAACTGTATTGTACATTTGCAAGTTGCTCATAGAATATATCTTCAAAGTTCTCATTATAAAAGAAAGTCTATAACTATGTGGTGATAGATGTTAACTTATGGGGTGATTATTTGCAATATACACATATATCTATTATTTTGTATTATAGCTAATATAATCTTATATATCAATTATATCTCAATTTAAAATATACAGAAGTGAATAAGTAAATATGTATATCTATATATTAAATTAATATGCTGTCATTAAAATGAATTTTTAGAATATTTAATGACATAGATGTTTATCATATATTATCAAGTTTTAAAAAACCTGTTTATCCAGTATTATATACAGTATGATTCTGGTATTTCATGGTTTTTAATATACACCTTTATATATCCAAAAGGATATTCACCAAAATTAGAATATTGACAGTGGTCAACTGAATCGTGACAGGCCTAGGGTACCTTATGTCTTCATTTTCACCTATATTTCACAAGATTTGCATAAATAATACCCATTTTATTACCTTTCTTAGGAAGAAAAAGGTTGTTAGGGTATTGAAATGTGGGCCCTTTCATATGCATTACCAAGCATAGTGTAATGTGCACCTTCTTTCCCAGCCGTATCCTTATAGAAAATCCTGAGTAAGCCGACCAAAGACTCTGGAGCAGAAGCTGAGAACAAGTTAAAAGCAGTGAATCACCAGAGTTGTGTTACTAAGGGTGATTCTCTCCTTCCAATTAAGTTTCCCATGTTTCTGAAATTGTCTGATTATGATGACAACATCAAGAACTTAATTCAATCAGACAAATGTTTAGAGAGCTCCTGTGGGTGCTCAGTGTTGGGCCAGGCATCAGAGCAAGGTGGGCAGGGGACAGGGTGTTACAGAGTGGAGAACAGAGATCTGAGGTTTAGTCTTTACATCAGGAGGTCTATGATTTTTCTGGGAAGACAAGACCAACATACAAAAAATAATTAGATGTAAGAATCAAAAGATCACATAGCATTGTATGGAATATAATTTTATTATTTACAAGGACCTACTGGAGGGTAGCTTCATTACTTTAAAGTCACCATGTAGGGGCGCCTGGGTGGCACCATGTATGTGACAAAATCCTCTATTTGGGTTGTTACAGAAAGTAGTGACCTGTTTTAACAAGTGCACAGTACAAGAGGCTCCGATTTCCACTGCAACCATAAAGGTCAGCATTGTTAATCCATCATAGCACTTTCTCCCACTGAGCTCTGCCTCAGAATCTTTCTTAACTGCAGTTGTAACTGCAGTTGGCACTGGAAATGAAACAGTGTCCCTCTGAGTGTTGGCATTAAGTATTCTTGGAGGTCTAGGGAGGAAATGTTAGCTGGAGTTGAACCTTCACGACACTTCGTTTTACCTCTTTAATGGAATTTCTTTTTTTTTTTAATTTATTTATTTGGCAGACAGAGATCACAAGTAGGCAGAGAGGCAGGCAGAGAGAGAGAGAGAGGAGGAAGCAGGCTCCCTGCTAAGCAGAGAGCCCGATGCGGGGCTCGATCCCAGGACCCTGGGATCATGACCTGAGCCGAAGGCAGAGGCTTTAACCCACTGAGCCACCCAAGCGTCCCTTTAATGGAATTTCTGATACATAAATATGTGGTCCCTTTTGACAGGAATGCCCTTGTCATCATCGGTCCAGAGGAGAGATGGGGGTATGAGTGGTGAGCAGTGGACAGTGAAAAGTAATTAGCTTGAGAACATACTCTGGAGATAGTGAAAATGGGACTCAGCAACACGCTGAATGTGGGGAATAAGGAAAAGAAATAAAGGATACCCCTAGTTGGGGGCCTAAGGAATTAGATGGATGATGCAATGGGATAGATAGGAAGAAGGAGGCTCAGCTTGCCCTAAGTCAGGAGTTCTAGCTCCAGATAGCTACTGGGCTTCCCAGGGGGCATGCTGAGCTCATAGAATAAATGAATGAATCCTCATGTTACAGTTACTCCTCCTACTACACATGAGACAAAACCCAGAAGCTCCTTGATGTTCCAGCTATATCGCACATAAACTTTACATTCTCGGTATTCCTAAGCATAATAACTAAACTCAGTGCCTATTAAATAAAGCTTGTTAAACTGAATTAAATTCAGCTGACTTGACATGCTCTGCAGGACTTTTGATGGACCACAAAATGTTGGCATGAAACAGACAAGGATATTTTGAGTTAGAGAACAGAAGAAGTACAACTCAAGGCCAGGGAAGGGGCTGGCCCACTCGGGGCGGGGGTGGGGGGGGATGGATACACAAGATATGGGGATATACCTGCTTAGCTGGGAAGGCCATGCTGCAAGCTCACACCCAGTCAGCTGGTCCTGTCAGCTCCACCTTCAGATTCTTTCCAGAATTTGACCCCTTCTCATCACCTCCACCGCAGCTCCTTTGGTCCAAGTCACCATTATCTCTCTCACCTGGAGTATTATGCAACAGCCTTCCAACACATCTCTTGCTCCCACCTGTGCCCCCCTATGGATTATCATCCACACAAGAGCCAGACAAATCTTTGTTTGCAGTAAAAGATGAGCCATTCCCCTGACCTACAAGGCCCTCATCTCCTCCCCATATCCTCTATGACCTCATCTTCTACTGCTTTTCCTCCCCCCCCCTCACTCCATTGCAACCACACTGGCCTCGTACTATCCTTCCAACACACCGGACATGTCCCACATCAGGCCTTTGCACGGCCCACTCCCTCAACTATTCCAGGTCTTTACTAAATGTCATCTTCCCAGTGATGCTCTCCTTGGTCACTCCACTTTATAATGCAACCCCTTTCCCCATTTCTGCCCTCTGTCCCCTCTCCTGCTCTACTTTTTTCTCAGAGAAATTACCACCATCTAATATGCTGAATATTTTATTTTACTGATAAAAACTCCACGAGGAGGCATCTTGGTGGCTCAGTCAGTTAAACATCAGCCTCTTGATTAGGCTCCGGTAGTGACCTCCGGTGGTCACAGGATCAAGCCCCACATCCTGCTCCGTGTTCAGGACAGAATCTGCTTGTTCTTCTCCCTCTACACCTCCTTCCATTCATTCTCTTTCTCTCTTTCTCTCAAATAAATAAATAAATAAAATCTTTTAAGAAAAAACCTTCACTAGGGCAGGGACTTTGTTGTTCACTGCTGTATAATATCCTCAGTGCTTAGAATAGACATGCTAGATGCTCAGTGAATATTGGTTTAATTAAATGATCTATTAATTCTTGGGTTTCTGGACTACCTATAGCAAAAAAAAAAAAAAAGTCTGGAACGTAATCTGAGTCTGATGATTCTAGGTTACAAGAGGGTATGTGTCCAGGGTCTTATGGACTGACACACACACCCACATTTTCTGCCTTTTCCAAAGTTGAGGAACACATAGCTAATTCTTGCCATTTCTGTATATTATAAGCTGAATTGTGTGTCCCCTTCCCCGCCACTAAATTCATATGTTGAAATTCTAACCTCCCAGTCCCTTACAGTGTGACTATATGCGGAGATTAGGTTTTTAAACAAGAGATTAAGTTCAAAAGAACTTGCTATGGTAAAGTCCCACACCAATATGATTGGTGTCCCTAGAAGAAGAGGAGATTAAGACACACAGGGAGTGCCAGGCATAAGTGCACACAGGGAAAAAAACAAATAATGACATGGCATGGCAAGAAGGCAGTCATCTGCAAGCAAGAAGGAAACAAATCTGTTTACCCTTGGTCTTGGACTTCCAGCTCTCAGAACTGTGAGAAATAAATTTCTGTCAAGTCACCCAGTCTTTGGTGTTTTATTGTGGGAGTCCTAGCAAACCAATCCACTATTAATACCCCACAGCTTCACCAAATGGAAATCAACCTCACAGAAAGACTCAATCAAGTGTTGTTGTTACCACTCTCCTCACAGGAATACCTACAGGAATCGGAGCTTCCCACACATGCATGTTGGACTCACCAGATAGATTCTGTAAGGTAGGGAAGGAAGATAATGACATGGCAGTGGCCATGGTCCCAAGCAGGGTTGTGCTGTAGCTGTGTACTCTGCTTGCTCCCCTCAGTCCACAGAGCAGTAGGGCAGCAGCAAAGGACCACAGGACTTCTCAGCATTAGACAGAAAAGCGTAAGGTCCTCCATCAAAAATCAAAAGACAAATCGATTATTATTACTAAAAGGTCAAAAGCTTGAATAATAACAGGAAGTATAATACAAATAAAGGTCATGTGAAACATGGCACAGAGAAGGTAACATAATTGAGGCACCTGGCTGGCTCAGGCAGTTGAGCATGTGACTTTCTTTCTCTTTCTCTCTCTCTCTCTTTATTTATTTGAGAGAGACAGTGCATGCGTGGGTAGGGCAGAGGGAGAGAACCTTCAGACTTCCGCTGAGCGCAGAACCCAGATGTGGGGCTTGAGCCCACCACCCATGAGATCATGACCTGAGCCGAAATCAAGAGTCAGACACTCAACTGACTGAGCCACCCAGGTGCCCTAGCATGTGACTCTTGATCTCGAGATTGTAAATTCAAGCCCCATGTTGGGTGTAAAGATTACTTTAAAATAACAGCTTTTGTTTCTTTTAAATAGAAGGTGATATAATCAATGTGTGGTACATAGAAGCCAAAGGAAAGGAGAGACGTGGCAGCAGAGTGGACTAGCGAGGCTTTCTGGTGGGGGAGAGCTATATTGACCTTATAGGATGGAAAAATTTCAGAGATTAGTTGCAAGGGAATTCGGTACAATCCACACACAGGAAAAAACCATGAAGGTAAGATGGGTCACGCAGCTAAATCTTGTTCTCACACCTGGCAATTACGCTAATTCCCTGGAAGTAACTTTCTATTAGCATTTGCCAGAATGTGTTTCTCAAGATAGTCAACACACACTCAAAAAATAAAATAAAATAAAATTGAAAATCAGGGGATTAAATAGGTTTCTTTCTTACAGAACGTCTCAGAACTCAAAGTACATTTATAAATCTCCCCCAAGTATTACACCATCGATCCATTTTCCCACCAGAATCTCAAGGAGCAAGCATTTTTGGAAGCATCAAACCTTCCTGATATTACTAATGGGTAGAAAAGACCAGTCAACCCATGCTGAGCAAACCAGTGGAAAATACCAAATCAAGACTGCAGTCTAGACCTGAAGCTGTGCTTTCAGACTGCAGACATTTGTAGAGAAATAGGGAGGAAAACCAAAAAACAGTGATAGAGCTAGTTAATAGCATTAGGGTATGACTGATCTCATCAATGCTGTTGTTTCTATGTGGCTACATGCTAAAAACAACCTACAACGACCCTTGTAAAATAGCTTTAAAATCACTTTCGGGGGCACCTGGGTGGCTCAGTCAGTTTAAGTGTCCAATCCTTAATTTTGGCTCAGGTCATTCATTATCTCAGGGTCATGAGATAAAGGCCTGCCTCAGCTCCATGCTGGCCATGGAGCCTGCTTAAGATTCTCTTTCACTCTCTCCCTCTGCCCCTCCACCCCCACTTTCTTTAAATAAATAGGTAAAACTTATAAAATCACTTTCACTTTACAGCCAAAAATCTGGGACACAGAGAGGCTAAGTACTTTCTGCTCAAGGTCACACAGCTAGTAACTGACAGAACCAGGCTAACATCCTATTAGAGAGGTGTTTCCCAGGCTCCTCAAAAGTCACAGCCTCAAACACTTATGAAGCACCTGTTATATGCCCACTGCTGTGCTGAAGGGAAAAAAAAAAAAAACAAACACATACCAGAGCAATAATCAATTCCAAAAGGCAGCTAGGACTGGTCCACCTTCTCAAGAAGAACCAGTAAGTCTTGGGGCTGAGGCAAAAGCACAGAAGCAAAGAGTTCTGCCAGAACTGAGAAGAATCTGACACTGGGCTCGAGGTGGAGAGAGCGGGACAACAGGGAACAGGAGAAGCCCTTAGAGGGCAAGTACAGCACAGTTTAGAGGCTTGTGAGGTCTGTGATGGATCGAGAAAATCCACACAGGACAGCAACCAGCCATCACCTTTGCTGCCCGCAGCAGCAGCTGGAACACACTGTCATTTCCTGAGTTCCCCCGGACAGCAGTGCGAAGCTCTTAGGAAAACCTACCCTGAACTGCTTGCTACTATTTTACTTACCACAATAGGTATACCAAACAGAGACATCAGAGGAGTTGCAGACCCAGCGTTGCTCCCCAGGTTCAGCGAATATGGAAGAAAACAGAGTGGAAAAAAGCATAAAGGAGAACATGATTCAGTATCTCCAAAACTTTACAAATACAAGGGGGATCGGCAACTAATCATCAGACTCTTCCCTTTCAGTAAGCAGAAAAGGTTTAACTTAGTCATCGGTCACATGATTTCTGAGTTCCTGCGTTCCTCTTTTGAGTGTATGTGTTTGATATCCGAGCACTTCCGGCAAGGGGAGAAAGGAAAATGATTTAGAATATACTCTTTGAGAACACATAATGCAAATGAGAACACAGAGCTTATGAAACAAAACAAGGTACTTCCTGGTCAATAGTAACAAAACCAGTCTGTAGGTCTCCTTTAGAATCCCGAGAGACAGCCCCTCCTTTTCCATCTGTGTTGCTATTTTTTTTTTTTTTACAATTTTTTTTTATACAATTTATACCACAATTTCTCATGGCCCAGGGAACTGGACCTATAGATCTGAACTGAATAGTCTGATGCGAATTATTTCTGTTCTACGACAGGTACAGCCACAAGGCTGAGCCAGACTAGATGAGACTGCAGACATGGGATATTAGCTATAGTTCTGCATTTGGGGTGGGGACCACACCAGGCTTCAGAATGCATTTACTTAAGCAAAGTATAGCTCCAGGGAATATTTTGGGCCCTGATAATGAAATGGTCATTATTGTGATGTAGCATGTATTTCAAAATTCTCACTGTTCTATAAAAATAGCTCATTGTTTAGATACTTCGCTACATAAAATCCTTTGTAGGACATAGTTTGGGATTAGTAGCCAAAAATAAAAATAGCATGGAGTCAGGGCCTAAAAGTCTACAGGTTCAGAGGAAAATAATCATATGCTGGTAAAAGTTTCCACTAAAGAACTATGCTACTTTCTCATTTTTAGAAAGGCAAAAATCTGAGGGAAGATGGGAAATGGAAGTTGTTAATGGATACTGAGCTTCAGGATTGGAAGATGAGAAGTTCTAGAGATATGTTGCACATCAGTGTAACTATAAACACTACTGAACTTGTGCTTTAAATTGGTTAAGATGGTGAATTTTATATTTTATTTTTTACTACATTAAAAAGTGGGGGAGTGGCGCCTGAGTGGCTCAGTGGGTTAAAGCCTCTGCCTTCCGCTCGGGTCATGATCTCAGGGCCCTGGGATTGAGCCCTGCATCAGGCTCTCTGCTCGCAGGAGCCTGCTTCCCCCTCTCTCTCTCCCTGCCTGCCTCTCTGCCCACTTCTGGTCTCTGTCAGATAAATAAATTAAAAGTGGGGGGAAAAAAGAAGAAGAAGAAAAACCTATGAATGCCCCTAGTGGTCTCAAAAAATACCATTTCCCACTAAAAGGAACAAAGACTCTGAAGAGATTGCTGATTCCAGATATACGGCAGGAAATGTACAAGATGGAGCCTGGAACATCTTAGCATCTTAGATAACCAATATGAAACCAGACCCCACTGACCAAAGATGGGTTTCCTACTGCTGCTGTAATGACTAACTACTGACTTGGTGGCTTAAAACAACACAAATGTATTCTCTTACAGTTCTGGGGGTCAGAAGTCTGAAATCAGTTTCACTGGACCAAGGTCAAGGTGTCAGCAGAGCTGGTTCCTTCTGGAGACTGGTGGAACAGCCTTATTTTCTCATCTTGGAGAGCTGCAACCCATGTATTCCTCCATCTTCAAAGTTTAGCACTCCCATCTCTGCTTCCATCTTCACATCACCTCCTCTGACCTCCTGCTTCCTTCTTATAAGAACCCTGTGATTATACTAGAACCATTTGGATAATCCAGGGTAATCTCCCCAAGATCTATCTATAAAATCCCTTTTGCCATATAATGGAATATTCAGTTTCCAAACATGAACATTTTGGGGGACCATTATTCAACCTACCTATAGACTATACAAACATTAAGATAGTAACTACAATGAACTGAAATACACCAAATGTATTTAAAACTAAGAGCTCATAATTTTTTTTTTTAAAGATTTTATTTATTTATTTGATAGAGAGATCACAAGCAGGCAGAGAGAGAGGAGGAAGCAGGCTCCCTGCTGAGCAGAGAGCCCGATGCGGGGCTCGATCCCAGGACTCCGAGATCATGACCTGAGCCGAAGGCAGTGGCTTAACCCACTGAGCCACCCAGGCGCCCCGAGCTCATAATTTTTTAAAAGATTTTACTTATTTGAGAGAAAGAGAGAGAGCAAGCATGAGCAGAGGGGAGGGACAGAGGGAGAAGAGAGAGAGAATCTCCAGCAGACTCTGCACTGAATGCAGAGCCCAACATGGGGCTTGATCTCACAATGCTGAGATCAGAAACTGAGCCGAAAACCAAGAGTCAGATGCTCAACCAACTGAGCCACCCAGGTGTCCTGAGCTCATAATTTTTTAAAAGTATAATTAATCATTAGATGATGCTAGGAAGTCAACAATTTTGAAAACTGATAAACAAAGGGAAAGAATCAAACATTTATCCCAATTTAATGACACTGAAATACCGGTAACCAGAGAGTAGATTTGGGACAATTTTCCCTTGCTTCCTTTTACTCTTTTCTCTGTTTTTAGAAGTACTCAGCTAATATATGAAAAAAAGAAAAATAGAATATAACCATTTTGCAACACCTAATGAATTACTGAGCTTGGGCACTGAGCATCAATGGTGGCTAACTTCACTGAAGAGTGAGAGACAGAAAGGATTTTTCCTGATGAATGAACACTGGGGTAGCCCGCTTCCAAGATGGCTCCCAATGATCCTTCTTAGTATTCAAATCCCTGTGTAATCTCCTCCACCAATGAATGAAGCTGATTCTGTAACTAATAAAATATTGCATAATAAAAGTGTGCAACTTTCAAGGTAGATCATACACATCCTTGCAGCTTCCACTCTACTCTTCTGGATCAGTTGCTCTGGGGGCAGCAAGTAGCCCTAAAGAGAGAACCATGTGGCGAGAAACAGGCCTCCTACCAAAAGCCAGCACCAATTTGTCAGTCATGTGAGTGAGCCACCTTGGAAACAATCCCTCCTGCCCCAGTTCAGCCTTCAGATGACAGCAGCACCAGCTGAGAGCTTGACTCCAACCTCACGACAGAACCTGAGCGAGAAGCATTCACCTAAGCCACTCCCAGATACTGGACCAACAGGCATCATGCAGTATTACATTTTAAGCCTCTAGTTTTTGAGACACCTAGGTGTCTCAGACAGTTGAGCATCCAACTCTAGATTTTGGCTCATGATCTCAGGGTCCTAGGATCCAGCCCCGCATCAGGCTCCCTGCTCAGTGGGGAGTTTGCATCTCTGCCTCTCCCTCTGCCCTTCCCCCTGCTCGCTCACACACACACTCTCTTAAATAAGAAGTCTTAAAAATTAAAAAAAAAAAAAAACTTCTAAATTTTGGAGGCAATTTGTTAATGCAACAATAGTTAATAAAAGCAACATCATCGGGCATCTGGGTGGCTCAGTGGGTTAAGCCTCTGCCTTCAGCTCAGGTCATGATCTCGGGGTGCTGGGATGGAGCTGGGATGGGCTGTCTGATCAGTAGGGAGCCTGCTTCCCCCTCTCCATCTGCCTGCCTCTCTGCTTATTTGAGATCTCTCTCTCTCTGTGCCAAATAAATTTTTTAAAAAATCTTTAAAAAAAAAAAAAGCAACATCATCTATGAATTACCCAAAATGATCAAATCTCGATCTGATGAAGTCTCAGGTCCTATTACCAATTTATAGGAGATACAGAAGACAGAGAAACATGTTAATCTACACCTCAGGGATACAATCAGAAAATCTAGACCACGAAAAGATGTAAAAGACAACTCCGTTTCTTAACAGGTAATTTACAAGGGAGAAAAAAACAAAGTGAAAGAAATGGAGGGGCCCATAGATTAGATGAGTCTTGAAAGACATTTAATAAGTTGGAGTGAATAAGGCATGAACTTTACTAAGATCTTAATCCAAACAAAATGTGGGGAGGAAATTGGCATTTGAACAAACTGGATATTTGATAACTTTGGGGAGAAGGGAGTGACTTGGAAAGAGGGGAGTGATTTGGGTATTATAATGGTATTATAATTTTTACGTCTTTATCTAGTAGAGTTAAAAAATATTCAAGAAAGAGATGTTACAGTGACTGGGTTTTGCTTCCAAATAAAAGTAGAGGGCAAGTGGTTGGGATGTAAGTCAAACAACATTGACAACAAATTGGTAAATGTTGAATCTGAATGACAGTTATGTTGATTCATTATACTTTTTTTTTTTAAAGACTTTTATTTATTTATTTGACAGAGAGAGAGATCACAAGTAGGCAGAGAGGCAGGCAGAGAGAGAGGAGGAAGCAGGCTCCCTGCTGAGCAGAGAGCCCGATGCGGGACTCAATCCCAGGACCCTGGGATCATGACCTGAGCCGAAGGCAGAGGCTTTAACCCACTGAGCCACCCAGGTGCCCAACTCTTCTAACTTTTGAATGACTGAAATTCTCAACGTAAGGGAAGTCAACAAAATTACCTGAAAAAATCAGAATACCATCTCTAAAATTGTGTCCAAGCTAAGGCTATCACTGAGACCTAATGGCCACTTTGTTACTTTTGCTTCTACAATTATTATTATTATTTCAGAATAATGAAACTAATGTTTAGAAAAGGGATTACAAGACATTTTATTATCAACAGGCGTATTACCTGATACAACCCCAATGTTAAGCCAGGATCACCCTACCTTTTGAGACTCAAAACCAACTCAATGCCCTTCCTGTAGATAGTGGGACTCCTCACCTCCCCAGCCTCTCCAAGATTTTACTCCACCTGTGATGAATGTAGTAAAGTGGCATAGAGAGGTGTGTGTAAATTTTTCCTCCTCACCTTGGCCTGAATTCTGATTATTTCAGGGATGAATCATATTCTACACATACTGTTCCTTTTCTTCTTCTTGGTGTGGCTCCAGACCATGCACTTGAGAAGTCATCTTTCTTAGTATTTTAAGCTTTTTTTTCTTTTCCCTAAACAACCAAGTTGTCTTCTGAATTATTCTGATACTAATACAAACAGGTTTTTCACTCCACTCCGCAGGTGACAGAATGGTTATAAGGATACAGGACACTTAAAGAGATACGGTACACTCAGAACAAGTTATGAAGAAACTGGAGAAAACATTAAGATATTAGTAATGCTGTTTTTTTCCTCTAGGAATGGAACTAAGTGGTTTGTTTTTTTTTTCTTGCCTCTACTAATAATTGATCAACATTTGATCATGGAAAATTTTATAGTAAGATACATTAACTGCCAAGATAGCAACAGGTATATATCTGGGTGACAGGACAGAGGAACAGGCGGGCAGAGGCCCAAACAGAAGATAGGGATGGCACCAGCTTGTTCATCTGAGACCTAGAGCCTGCCTTCTGCTAGATCACAAGCTGGCTGATTCTACCAGAGGGCAGGCTCTAGACCTCAGAAAGGGGAGTACTTTTCTATGTTACGCTCTCTCCTATAAGCTTCTAGCAGCTGCAGACCTCATCTTAGTCTATGAACGTATGAGGTTTCTCGTGCTTCCCCATCAACCTTCCGCATACACAGGTAAGCCATAAAGATTAAGTTTACCATCATGACAGACAATAGGAGACATTAGGCAGCTCCACAGAGATTGGGTGTTTTGTTCTTTTTTCTTTCAAGATTTTGAGATGGAGTGAGAGAGAGAGAGAATGAGCAGGGGGTAGGGTAAAGGGAGAGGGAGAAGCAGGCTCCCCTCTGAGCAGGGAGCCTGACACGGGGCTCAATCCCTAGGGCCCTGGGATCATGACCTGAGCTGAATAAACTGAGCCACCCAGGCACCCCTGGGTGTTTTGTTCTTAACTATGACTTTGACAACTAGCACAGTATCTGGCACACACTGGGCACTTAATGAGTTATCTACTGATCTAAGAGCATGACTTAGGGCCTTTTGCTCCTTGCTGAAAATCCTTCACAAGAACTAATTTTCATTTTATAGTTTTAAAAATCTGAAAATGCCAATACTTTATAATAATTAGCATAGAGATTGTGACTTTATAAAATTTTTAAAAAGTTTTTAATGCATGTGAAATTAGTATCTATACACCTAGAAAAATCCAAACGTAAAGGAAAAAGAACTCTCCCATTTGCGTCTGACACCGATCCCCAGCCTAGAGACAACCACATTATATAAAAGTATCCATGCAGGGGCGCCTGGGTGGCTTAATGGGTTAAGCCTCTGCCTTCGGCTCAGGTCATGATCTCAGGGTCCTGGGACCGAGCCCCACATTGGGCTCTCTGCTCAGCGGGGAGACTGCTTCCCCTCTCTCTCTGCCTTCCTCTCTGACTACTTGTGATCTCTGTCAAGTAAATAAATAAAATCTTTAAAAAAAAAAATTATCCATGCATATGCCAGCATGAAAATGTATTTTCACTTTTTTAAAAACACAAGTGGTAGAATATTACATGATTCATTTTTCAAACATAGCATAATTATTATATAGGAGGAATATAATTCTGTAAAAATTACAAGTTGTTTGATACAGTTTCAAATTATTTTCAATCAATCACTAACAGAAAACAAAAGTAAAGGCGATTTTATTAATATACATTGGAACATAAATCACATTTAAGTACAAATGTAAAGAACAATAGACTCATTTCTCATCTTTAACCTGTTTCTTCTCATTGTCTTCTTCCATATCAAAAGTAAATGGTTTGTCATAACCCATTAGATGGTTATAATCTTCAGGGTTTGGAAAGAGCCTTGGATTAACTAACAGCGATTTCGTTTTAGCATAAAATGTGGTAAACACATGTGTGCTGTCTGGAATCTTCACGTCATTCTGGTGAAACACGGTACTCGTTTCTAAAAGCACAACGTTGTAAGTAATGGCTTTGTAAGTGTCTGTTGTAGCTTCATGGTACAACCGAACAACATAGCCTTTTGTAATAAAGTGAAGCAGTACTGGAGTGATCACTGTAAAGCTTCCTATGATGCCATAAAATAATATTTGCAAAGGCAGACTTCCAAATATAATATTGTTTTGTGCAAAAATGTATGGTAGCAATGCAAGGCTGATGACACTTGTAGAATAAGAGAAACATTTCACACCTAAACAGGAAAAAAAAGGGGTAACATTAATATTTATAGATTTTATAAAAGCATCAATCTATCCAGTTTAATTCTTCTACCTTTCTTCTTATATCATCAAAACAACAAAATCAAAACACATATATAATGATTATTATTTTCCCAGCTGTTTTAAGTACTTTACATATTTTATGTAGTTTATTCATGACATCTTCAAAAAGGCACTATGAAACAGATGTGTAATTATCATCCTCACTCCCATTTACAACATGAGAAAAACAAAGCACTTGCTCCAGGTCACAAAGCTACCTAGAAGCAGGCAGTATTGGGATTTAAACCCAGGCAATTTGACCCTAGTGTCCAGGCCTTTCGCCAATACACTACCCTGCCTCTCCAGGTAGGAAACCTGCTTTAGGGTTAACTGGCCTCCACCTCAGTTCCCCAATAAAAATTTAATACTACTCAAAGATCCTTATGAATACTATAAACGTTAATTCAGTTAGCAGATTATTAAATAAAACTCTCTATTAACAAGCACTTCCACATACCTAACATTAAATGTTTAAATAAATACGAGACTAACATTATTAGACTAAGTGCCCAGGATTAAAACAGCAAATTACCAAAAAACATGCCACCAGTGGTTAATAAATATGTGGGAAATGAATATATTCAACTTCTTTACCAAGAAAAGACATTCAAATTAAAATAGTGGGATATTTTTTACCTGTCATATTAAAAAGATTAAAAATCAATGACTTCTGAAATGCATATTTAAAAATGGTTAAAATAGGACGCCTGGGTGGCTCAGCGGGTTAAAGCCTCTGCCTTCGGCTCAGGTCATGATCCCGGGGTCCTGGGATGGAGCCCCACATTGGACTCTCTGCTCAGCGGGGAGCCTGCTTCCCTTCCTCTCTCTCTGCCTGCCTCTCTGCCTACTTGTGATCTCTGTCTGTCAAATAAATAAAATCTTTTAAAAAATAAATAAATAAATAAAAATGGTTAAAATGATAAATTTTATGTTATATATATTTTACCACACTAAATAAAAGACTTAAAATGTAAATTTCTTAGTTTGATTGTATAATTTTAACATGATCCCAACAAAAACACCATCTGTTTAGAAAACAGACAAGTTGAGATCCTAGACAAGTTCATTATAAAGTTAATTTGGAAAAAAAAAAAAAAAGAAAAGAAAGGTGGGGGAGGAATTAGATACTAAAACTAACACTATAATGAAAATGGTGTGGTGCTGGTGCACAAATAAATAGATCAATAGAACAAAATAGGAAATCCAGAAATAAACCTAACTGCATATGAAAATGTAGCATAAAGATATAGTCTCGGGGCACCTGGATGGTTCAGTCAGTTCATTGTCTGAATCTTGATTTCGGCTCAGGTCACAGTATCTGGGTGGTAAGACTGAGCCCGGCATAGGGCTCTGTGCTCAGCTTGGAGTCTGTCTGTCCCTCTCCTTCCACTCCTCCACAGGCACTTTCCCTAATAAATAAATAAAACCTTGGGAAAAAAATCTCAAATATGTGGGCCAAAGTGGTGTTGGACCACTGGATAGCTAGATAGAAAAAAATAAAATACAATCCATCCCTTATAGCATCTACTAGGAAAATTCCAAATAATCCTGAGGTTTAAATGTAAAAAAATAAAATCATAGATATATAAGAAAACATCCATGAAGTGCTTTATAATCTGAGAATGGGAAAACTTTTCTAATCATGATTCAAGGGGTTCCTGGGTGGCTCAGTTGTTAACCATCTGCTTTCCGCTCAGGTCATGATCCTAGGGTCCTGGAATCGAGCCCTACATCAGGCTCCCTGCTCAGCAGAAAGCCTGCTTCTCCCTCTCCCACTCCCCCTGCTTGTGTTCCCTCTCTCGCTGTGTCTGTCAAATAAATAAATAAATAAATAAAAATCTTTAAAAAAAAAAAATTATGACTCAAAACACAGAAGCAATCCAGGAGAAAGACAGGTAAATCTGATTACATTATAAATGCACATGGACATAAAAAAAGTAGAAACAAGTAAGAAAAATATCTGCAACCTCTATCGCAGAGGATTAATATCCTCAACATACAGAAGGTTTCTAGTATATAAGAAAAGGATTAAAGCCCTACCCACACACATGCAAGAAATATAAGCAGACAGCTCACTGAACCAAAAACGCACATGGCCTTTCAACAGATGAAATTTAATACACTTCGATCCTAAGTACGTGAAATTAAAAGCACAGTGAGGTATTTTTCCCCAAAACTGCCAAAAACGAAAAGTCTGACAACATACTCTGACAACACTCTTCTTCATTGCTATTGGTTGAAGGCTTAATAATCTTATTAGTAATTTAAAAATAATTCCTTCCTTCCTCCACAGGTAGTTGCTATGACACCAGTACACATACAATACAACATGAATACAATGGGGACCAAGATGCCTCCTATATAAAAGCCTCCTTACTCCTTCCAACTACCTTTTTTTTCCTCCATGATTTTGTCACACTATGTAGGGTTGAAGAGGGTACCCCAAAATTCATGTCCACCCAGAACCTCCAAATGTGACTTCATTTGGAAATAGGGTCTATGCAGATAATTAAAAATGAGATGAGATCATCCTGGAATAGGGTGGGCCAAAAATCCAATGAGAATACCCTTGTAAGGATAGAACAGGGTAGACAGAGAGAGAGCTGTCTGAATTAGGAAGCAAAAATTGGAATTATGCAGTTATGCATCCATAAGCCAAGGAACACAAAGGACTGCTGGGAGCCACCAGAAGCTGGAAGAGGCAAAGAATTCTTCCCTAGAGCCTTCAGAGACAGCATGGCTTTTATCAACACCCTGATTTCAGAATTCTAGCTTTCAGAACTGTGGGAACAAATCCGTTACTTTAAGTCACCAAGTTTGTGGTAATGTATTACAAGAGCCCGAAGAAACTAATACACACGTACACTTTATTTTGCCTGGACTGAAGTACTTACTAATTCCTAAACATATTCTGGGCTCTCCCATCTTCATGTCTTTGCTCATACTACTTCCATGCCTGAGAGGCCCTTTTTACACACCTCTTGATGTTCAAGTTCTACTCATCCTACAGTAAGACTACTATGACGTCAGTAATTATTTATTGATGAATTAGCAAGAACTACCAACTAAAAGACCCTTCAAATGTCTTTAAATGAAGGGTGCCTGGGTGACTCAGTCATTAAGCATCTGCCTTCAGCTCAGGTCTTGATCTCAGGTCCTGGGATCAAGTCTCGCATTGGGCTCCCTGCTCAGAGGGGAGCCTGCTTCTCCCCTTGCTTGTACTCTCTCTCTCTCTCTCAAACTCTCAAATAAATAAAATCTTTTTTTTTTTTTAAAAAGGTCTTTAAATGAGGCTCCATTTGGCAGTTTAAAGAATCTTCAAGAATGGAACCTCTATCCTAATGTCTCTTACTCAGTTTTACATAGAAAAATTGTTTCTCCCTCAGTTTCTACATAGAAAAAATAGCAATCTCTGAAAAGGATATAGAGTGAGTTTCTATTATCATAACATTGAAAGAACTCAAACATTAAATTCCTATACAAGTTATAATTCTAGAACTTTAAATACCATGGATAGCTATGCTCCTCTATAAATATAACATCCCACCCACACCAAAACTAATCCCTATTTATATTCTCTTCTTTACAGAATGGAGTTAAATGGAATAGGAAATAAATTAAAAAGCCTTCCCTGAATTTGAAGGAACCATGTCTGTTCAGAAGGAAGGATATCATGGGTATCACTGTTAACACCTCTCAATAGTATAAATCCAGGTATCCCAGGCCAGAGATATGACACAGGCTCAATGGCCTACTCATGTACTGATTCCAGAAGAAATTTCTAATCACCCAAAATGGATTTTTCAGTAACTTCAGAACTCCTCTCAATAGTGATTATAATCAGGGGCACCTGGGTGGTTCAGTGGGTTAAAGCCTCCACCCTGGGCTCGGGTCATGATCCCAGGGTCCTGGGACTGAGCCCCGCATCGGGCTCTCTGCTCAGCAGGGAGCCTGCTTCCTCCTCTCTCTCTCTCTCTGCCGGCCTCTCTGCCTACTTGTGATCTCTGTCAAATAAAATAAATAAAATCTTTTTAAAAAACAGTGATTATAATCAGTTCTTTTTTTTTTTTTTTAAGATTTATTTATTTATTTGACAGATAGAGATCACAAGTAGGCAGAGAGGCAGGCAGAAAGAGGGAGAAGTAGGCTCCCTGCTGAGCAGAGAGCCCGATTCGGGGCTCGATCCCAGGACCCTGGGACCATGACCTGAGCCGAAGGCAGAGGCTTTTACCCACTGAGCCACCCAGGCGCCCCAATTATAATCAGTTCTTAATGCCAAAGTTATAAATAGCTAAAACTGTATTCCAAACAGTCTACTTTGATACCACACATTTTAGAACATACAGATTTCCAGAGTACATTTTAGATGGTGAGTGACACCACCATAATCAAAAACAGGAATGCAACTGCAGTGCTGAAATCTTGTGGCTGACTTGGCTATAAAATAATCCTTCGGATATTCACGTTATACTTTAAGATTACTGAAATGAAATACAACCTCAGGAACTTGAACAAAACCCATACCCAAGTTCTTCTGACCTCCCTAATAAATTATTCCAGACTAAATACCAAATTAAGAGCTAAGGAAAGAGTTTTAAATTTGTAGCTATTTAATACATTGTCTTGGGCGCTGGGGTGGCTCAGTTGGTTAAGCGTCTGCCTTCAGCTAGGGTAATGATCCCGGGGTCCTGGCATAGAGTCTGGCACAGGCAGTGGGTTTGCTGCTCAGCAGGGGGTCTGCTTCTCTCCCTCCCTCTGTACCCCCTCTCTCAAGCAAATAAATAAAATCTTTAACAATAATAATAATAGACTGTCTTTGTCTTCTCCAGTACTCTATACCACCTAGAAAAGGCACTAAATAAAGATGTTTCTTGAAAATGCTAAGGTGACCTCAAAAAATGTAAAAGAAATATATTTTTTAATTATAAAAGTATTATATGCTTATATTAACTGCCAAATTTAAAAATATATAAAGTAAATATGTACCCTCCCAAAATAACTACTCTTAGGGGGTATACTTCCATATTTTCTCTCCATATTCAAACATTACACAAATATACATTTCTTGTTCTATTTTGTTGTTAAACATCTTGGGAAGTGACCAAAGGATGGATGCTTTAGTACCCAGCCATAAGATCACAAAGTCATAACAGTCTTAAAAATCTGTTTAAACTCTCCTAAAAATGCAAAGGTCTCAACACGCCACAAGAAAAAATATATAACCTAATTTTTCCTCATATCTTGCAATTAAGAGATGTTAAAATAAGAAATAACATATCCTAAGAACAGGGGTAAAAAAGGAAATTACCCTCATTTTTGATTACCCACCAAATACTGTTCGTGCCAGATTCCCAGTATAAATCAGCCTTCCATCTTCTGATTTTTCAAGCTGTGTATGTAAGCATCGAATGCATCCTTCCCAACAAAGAGGTACCTATTGAAACAGAAACCATTATAATGTGAGTACATAACAAAGTGCATTTTAGACCAACTTTTAATTTATGTTTTTTTTAATTATAATGAAGAGTAAAAGAGAACTTGTCACATAAGGTGATTTAAGGAATACCCCCAAATAATCTAGAGAGCTGAAGAAATCAAACTAGAAAAATAGCTGTCCTTAACTCCAGTCACAAACAGTCACCTGCTGAGTTAGAGTTTGAAAACCTAGGTCTGCATCCCAGCTCAAAGCTTTTTTGATAAGCGTGGACTTGAACAAGTACAAAATTTTAGTGGAATAATTTCTTCATCCTGTGGCTAAGGAAAACATCACTCTTGCTCCATTGTCAAAATTTTAAACGCATTGGCTTTTCAAAAAAATGTTATTAATATAAATAAAATACTGCAAATGCAAACTGTTTCAAGTCCAGACCATTTTTAAGATCTCCAAAATGTTTATACTATAGCTAGTATTTGAAAAGAAAGAGTAACGCTCCCTGTTCATTGCATCCCTTCCTCTTAAGAAAATATTTCTCTTGAAATCTTCATCAAATTTCACAGGAACGAGAGGTCCCCGAAAGTCTAAAAATGAATTTCACAGCACACACCCTTCAAAACGTAAAAGGTATGCCTAATCCCTTTATGCTGAAATGTAATTAGATTCCAATTCCCATGTTAGACATTTCTTCCAAGTTATAACCATGTTTGCTAATTCTGGTATTTTACAGAGCAAGCCTAGGAGACAATTTACTTAGATTAAAATGTGAAGATTAACGTCTCCATCCCATTTTCCAGGGAGCAAAAGAATTCCTTAAAATAGCCTCATCTAATAGAAAATAGACAAACTTAAAAGTCAGGTTGAGTTCTTTTAGTTCGGTCACCAGGTGGGGCATCTAATTTCCTTGCAAATTAACCCTTCCGAGCTTCCGCTCAGAGGTAGAAGACCAAATAGCTGAGAGTCATCAGAAACCCGCTGGGTTTGCAACGAGCTGTGAATGACTTGGAACCGCCCAGAAAATGACCACTTTCGAACGGACACTCCTAGACTCGTGGGTGCCGTAAACCCCGGGACCCCTGGCCTGAGGCCGAGGCCGAGGAAGGCAGCCTCTGCGCGCCCCGCAGAGAGCTCCTTCCGCACCAGAGTTCCCGGGCCCGACGCTCCCTCCACCCCCGACCCTCACTGAGTCCGCAAGCCTTCCGAAGGCCGACCTGCGTTCGCACCCGCCGCCCGAGAACCGGCGAAGCTCCCCGCAGCCCCGCGCTTCCGCAGCCAACCAGCCCCGAGGAGCCGCTACAGGGGGCCACCCGCGAGGCGGCCGCCCTAAAGCCTCGAAGAGCGGCGGCCGCCCACGGCACCGTCCTCTTCCCGCCAAGCCGAAGTCCGGCCTCCCACGAGCTGCCCAGCGCCAGCAACAACATTCCGCGCGTGAGAAGGGGCGGCACAAGGCACTACGGCAACAACAGGAAACCCTGAGGCCCAGTTCCCCATCCGACCGCAGCTGGAACCTGCCGCGCATGCCCCGCCCCTAGAGGCCCGCCGGGGCGGATTAGCCGCACGCGCGTGCGCAGAATACGTAGCCCGCCTGCAACCTTCCCCGCCACGCGCGTTCCCTGCGGGCGGAACTCAGCACCACATGGCAGCTTCTAGTTGCAGCGACGCGCAAACGCCCAGCCTGCGCGCGGCTTCCCTTTCCCAGACTTGAGCGCTCTTGTAGAGAATGTGGACAGAAAGGAGAGCCCTAAGCGAAAAGACAAAGCCTGGAAGCCCGGGTTAAGTGTTTTATTCTCGTGGGCGTCATTTTCTAGGCCCCCCAAATCTATTTTCTTTCTGGAAAAATGACTCTAGCCTATTACACAGAGTAATAATACTTTATGCGACTTGGACAAAAATGAATGGTAATTTAATCCAACCGTTGGGTAGAAAATAAATGGAGCTTGTTCATGTGAATCTGATACTTGACAGATTTGTCTTCTGGAATCCTTCACACCCATATACACGTTTGTTCATTACTTGTTAAACAGGTATTGAGAGCCTATTGCCAAGACTAAGGAGCAGGGGATATAAAGATACTGCATAAAAGCGGGAATCCACTGTACTAACACAATGGAGGAAACACCTAAAAATAAGCTATAACATAATGCTGCAATATCATTAAGTTAAATACCAACTTACAAAATTCTTCAGAAGCCCAAAAAATAGCATGATTATTTTGGCCTCAACGTCTAAAAGCTTCAGGTTACCTGAGTCTTAAAAGGATGGGCAGCCAATGGGTTGACACTCCCCTGTTTACTATTTCAGAATGTTTCTGACTCCAGATGCTTTTGGTATAGAAGATCAAACTAAAAGTCTAAAATAATATCACCTTGACAATCCAAATCCTGTCTACTTTTTTTCTGGGCATTCAAAGGGATAAAAGTATACTGCTTCTTCATGAATGACTTCATTTTCTTTATGTTCCACTTACATTTTAAAAACTTCTGTTTAGTGTGACACTACAAACATCAACTATCCATTTTACTGATATGTTTTAAATGTTCTGTTAATATAGTGTTTTCATATTGTTAAAAAGATAAATTGAGATATTAACAATTTTTGATTTGAGCAAAACTTTATTCAAATTGGGCAGCACCAAACCGAAAGTGATTGAGTCCTCCACTGAGAGGAGCTAAGGACAAGGTTTTTACAGAGAAAATGAAGAAGCAAAGCAAGAAATTATTTGACTATAGTTTAAGCATTTGCATTATTTGGGAAAATCTACTTAGCTATTTGTGATTGGTGGTTCTTAGACATTTACAGGAATTGACTCTGGCTTAGGTTTTGGTTTGCTTGCATAGGCTACCAAGGTTTTAGAGCCATCTCAGTCTAATGGCTTCCTTGATTGATTTCTTTAATAATATACTGAAAGAACCTGAACTTTAACTTCCGTTAAGCTTAGTTTTTTCCAACAGATTCTGTAAGCAAATGAAAAAAAAAAATATTTGGTTTACTTCTCAATGTTTCTAAATAGCTAAAATGAGATCATATTCTGAAAATTCTGTGCTATGGAATTACATTGAATTGTTATTTATGCTTAAATAGATTTTCCCAATTCTAGTAATATAGAGACATTTGTTGAAAATACTTGAGTGGGACTTTTGGAATGATACTAAGACTTTAAAAAATAAAACTTGATACTCCATTCATATAATCTAAGAGCTTCCCTTTAAAGATGGAGACTGATGGAAAATTAAAAACCAATTATCACTTTTAGAATGTATGATCACCATTATTGTATATCCTGTTTGTATTTTAGCTGTCTTTTCTCCCCATCCACCAGCTCTCTCTTTCCTTTCTTTAAGGTAAGCTTAAGGGCAGAATAGCATGATGGAAAAAAGAAAAGAAAAATTTTGGTAAAGCTAGTATATTGATAAGAACCCTAAATATTTCTTCATACATTACTGGTTTAAAGCATATGCTAGGAGAATCTTTCCTGAAAAGATCCTGTCAACAGATTATCAAAATCTTTTAAAACATTCATATCCTAAAGAAATAATCAGAAACATAGTCAAAGATTATTGCGGAGATACTAAACATAGCATTACTTAAAATGATTTTAAAAATGGAAATGAGGTAGGGGCACCTGGATGGCTCAATCCAAGTATCTGATTCTTGATTTTGGCTTAGGTCATGATCTCATGGTGATGAGATCAAGCCCTACATCCAGTTCTGTGTGCTGAATGTGGCGCCTGCTTGAGTCTTTCTCTTCCCATCCCCCACCCTCCCTCTCTCTTGAAAAAAAATTTTAAAAATGGAAACAAGGCAAATGGGTAAATGTCTAACATTAGGGAAATACTTAAGTGAATCATGGTATGTTTATATAATGCAATTCTATACAGACATTAAACATGATGCTTGTTGAGATTTTGGTTACAGAGAAGTTAAATTGGAAAGTTAACAGTATTCAAAATCATATACACACAGTATGATGATGTAAAAGTGCATGGAAAAAACAAACATCTGCAATCTGTAATTTTTGTAATAGGCATATATTATATTTACATAAATAAATTTTTAAAATACAGTAAAATTTTGCACACATACACACACACACACACGACAGTCCTAGACTAGATCCTAGCCCTAAATCTGTTATTAGCTAGCTTCAGTATTCTCATCTGGAAAATTCTATTCATTCTCTAGGCAACTAATATAGTCATCCTTTAGAGGGTGATGATACAATGAGGAAAAGAGGAAGAGAAGGGAAGAAAACAACACTTTTGAAGTAAAGGAGGAAAAATATGATTGAAAATGAGCCCACGCCTCCTCTCCTCATCCCACTGTCTCTCCTCCCTACCAAACGCTACTCCGAGATGTCGTTAAAACGAAAAACTTTAAAAAAAAAAAAAAATTTTTTTTTTTTGCAAAGGCTTTGAAAAGTTAACCCAGAGCAATCTGTCCGTTAAAAGCAATGACTTTTATCTGTCAAATCAAAACATGTTCTTCAAGCAAAAGTTATTAATTAGGTCAACAAATTTTGTTTCCCCTGTATTTATTTTCCTTTTTGGACATCGTTAACACAACAGCGCCTAGTTGAGCAATTTGAAATGGTGTCTTGGCCCTACATTCCCTTCTTGCCACGGGCCCGTAAACAGAAGGCAAACTTTATTTAGCTGTTTCAGCTTTTCTGGAAGGGTACCTTAATTTAACCACGGCAAAGCAAGTGAAAAGGACAGGCCGATCGACGAGCGAGAGAGGGGCTCAAAGAGCCAGAGCGCTGGGGCGTGGAATGTCAAAGATGGTCTAAGAATTCAGCATCCGCGGCAGACGCCTGGAATTTCAGGGCGTGATCTCTGAATCTAGGAAAGTTTGAGCAACCCGGTGCTGGGAGGAGTTAGTAAGGATGGAGAAAGGCCCCAACCTTCTGGGGTGGGGGCGTGGTTATTTTCAGTAATAGGTGTCGGGAAAAGAGGAAATGAGGCCAGCCGATTGCGCCAGCCGTAAAGATGCTCTTGCAAGTTTTCACAAAAAGACAGATGGTGTTTCTTAAAGAGCACGATCTTGTTAGCATAGAAACCGTACTCCCAATTTTCAATCTTTTCTCTGCAGATTATCTCCGACCCGCAGAAGGACCCCTGGACAACCTCTAAAATTACCAAAGGCTTAACATTCAACGTGAGAAACTACAAGTCCCAGGATGTAGTGCGGCCGCGGAGAAACAGTGGCCTTCAGAGAAACTACAAATCCCAGGATGCAGTGCTGTCTCGGAACCCCCAAGCACTTCTTTGAGAATGATGTCCTGGTAGAAATAGTATCAGAGTCGGTGCTGCATGCTGGGAATCAGAAGACCCAGAACTGGATTGGTTGCGATTTGCAAATGACCGCGGTCCTCCGAGGTTGGCCAGTGGTACTGTAGGAGAAGGGAGGGGGGCACTGCGCACTTCCTGTAGACGGAAGCGCGCAACAGACGGCGTCCCCGCCTCACCAGGTACCAATCTCCCGCGCGTCGCGGAAAGCATCAGTGACCCGGCGGAAGTGATTCCTCTAACTGCCCCGGAACCCACGGCGGCAGGCAGCTGGGGTGGGGGGGTGGCCCTGGAGTAGGGACTGTGGCGGTGCGCGGGGACCCGGCGCGGTGGCTGTGGTGGCTGCAGGACTGACGAGTGAGTCTCGGGCTGGGGTGGGAACGGAACTCCGGATCCGCGTGGGAGACAAGGAAGGCTCGTACTGGGCGCGCTCGCGATCCCACTTCCCACCCCTTCCCATTTGGGCGGGGAAGGAACGGAAGCTCTTAACCTCCCCGGGCCTTCTCAGCTCCTGGTTTGGGGGAGGGGAGAAGAGGGCGGCGGGACCTTTCTAGGCGCCGCTTGGTGGGCTCGGGAGAGGGTGAAAGGAGGGGCGGCGGCCAGCAAGTCTGGGCCTTCCCCGGGCTGAGCGCCGGGAGGGTGGAGTTAGGAGCATGGCAGCCCTGTCGCTTTTCCTTTCTGCTTTCCCCGTGTGCACTCAGATACATCCTTTTTTTGGAGTCGGTCCCCAGTCAGAGGAGTGACTCTCACAGTCACAGCCTTCTTTTTCCAGCTGCAGGACCCCGGGACGTTTACCTTCCGGGCAACTTGTCGGATGATCTGTGCCCAACTAGATAGTTTGGGACTGTCGTGCATCTGCTTTCCAGTTTTGTCTGAAAGGTATCTAGTACAGTGGCCTTTGAGTTTATCTTACGGAACTAAAATCTCTTTCGTAAAATACAGTTGTAAAGTTCATGCCATTAGTGCGAGCATTTCTACTTTGCATTTTACTTTTTCACGTTTGTGTAGAAAACAACCGAAATCCTTTAGTTTGAGTTTTAAAATCCCTTTTTTCAAACTGCTAAGTTGCTTTTTGATCCTCAAATAGTTGTTTCCTTTTCTGTTTAGTAGACTAAGATGATAAATCTTTGATCTCGTTTACATTATATTTGTAATTCATGATGTTGAAAGATTACTGTTCACACATGGATTCATTCATTCTGGAGATACAATGGTAAAGAACAGCTCTGAGCCCTGTCATGGTGGATATTTATTTATTGCCAGTGGTGATCTGGAGTTAATGTTTAATTTTTAATGGCTATTGTTTTTTTCCCTAAGTATGAAATTTAACTAGTAACTACCATTTCAAAATATATATATTTTTATAAGTATGTTTATTTCAACTTGTAGATGCCAGTTTCATTACCTTTATAATAATTCTGTAATGTAATTAGGCAGTAGCAGAAGTTATAGTGAGCCTTGTATATCAAAGCTCTAAAGTAACATTTGAGTGTACCTTATAAAGCTCTAAAGTAACATTTGAGTGTACCTTATAAAGTGCTTTTTGGGTGTTTGTTTGTTTGTTTAAATACAGATTTTTCAGTACTATGAAGTAATCTGGAAGCTTTTTGCATTTATACTGATAAGTGTACAGTTATTTTAGGATTTTAGTTGTTAATAAGGATTTATTCTTCCATTATTAAATAATATCAGGAAAAGCCCATCGAGTGATGCCTGAAATTTCAAGCCTTGGTGACTAAGAAAATAATAGTACCATTCACTCAAGAAATACTTGTTGAGCACCTGCTATAGGCTAGCTATTTTACCAGGCCTGCCTTCATGGAGCTTGGGGAAAGAGAGGAGATCCAATAAGTATATATATAAGCAAATATAGTTTCAAGTGGTGATAAATGTGAAGAAATTAGGTCAAGATTAGAGTTACGTCGAGTCAAATTAGGTGAGTAGGGTAGGGGTGTCTAATTTTGATAGGGGAGTGAGCAAGGAAGACCTGCCTCTCTCGGGGGTGGTGTTTTGCTTGCAGACCTAAATAATATGGAAGAGCTTTTAAGATAGCAGTAACTATAAATGTAAAGACTTTAAGAAACAAATGAACTTAACCTATTATGATACTAAAATGGCCAATATACAGTATAGGTGGAGCATAGTTAAATAAGAATGATGAGAAATAAAATCAGAGTACTTAGCTAAGTCTAAATAATTACAACTTTATAGTCCTTTTTCTGTTTGTAGTGAGAGGGCATTAGAGGATTTTGTGCAGGGGAATGATACCTGATTTCTGTTTTTGATGACAAGTTACTAGGTGGCAAATAGACCAGTTGGAGGAAAGTAAGGAAACGAGTTCCTAAGGAGGCTTGTAGTAGTCCAATTGAGAAGTGGTAGCTTGAGCTAGAGATGTAAGGTAAAAGTTTGGTGTGATCTGGAATATATTTAAAGATGGAGCCTGGTAGGTCTTGCCTTCTCCCCTAGCATGGAAAAAAAATTGAGAAATCAACTATTTTGCCTGAGCATCTGAGTGAACAGTAGTGCCATTTACTGAAATAAGGAACACAGGAGGGTACACTGATTTCTGAGGAATAAATTGAGAGTTTTGCATAGGAATAAATGAGGACTTTCATAATTATTATCAAATAGGCAAGTAGCAAGTAGGCAAGTTGGATATCCACAACTGTTGCTCGGGGGCAAAGTCAAGCTAGGAAGGAAGATTATCTGGGGGTCATTTTTTTTTTTTTTTTAAGATTTTACTTATTCATTTGAGAGAGAGCACAGGCAGAAGGAGAGGGAGAAGCAGACTCCCAGTGAACAGGGAGCCCATTTTGGGGCTCAGTCCCAAGACATGGAGATCGTGACCTGAGTTGAAGGCAGACGCTTAACCATCTGAGCCAGCCAGGTGCCCCTGCGGGTCATTTTTAATGGGTAATATTTAAACCTGTGGACTAGAGGACATCAAGTGGAGAGTATTAATGGAGAAGAGGGCAGATGACTGGGAGCACTCTGGTCGAAAGAGGAGCAAACAGGGATGGAAGCAGAAAAGCCAGGAGGGTATGGCATCTGTAATACTAAGGGAAGAAGCTGTTCTGGGAAGGAGGGGAGTAGTCATCTATAAAACCCTACTAAGAGTTAGATAAGGATTAAAAATTCACCATGAAAGCAAGTAAACTAATAGAAATAAGATGAGCCCCTTGAATGTACTAGTGGGCCAGAAGTCTGAGCAGAGTGGGTTAAGAAGTGAATGGTAGTGATTATATACCATTTTGATGTGCTGATGGGAATAATAACAGCACAAAGTCCTCAGAGAGGTGTGCTTAAGTGGAAAGGTTGGCCTTGAATAGGAAGGATGGTTTTGGTTGGTTGGTTGGTTTTTAAAGATTTTTTATTTATTTGACAGAGAGATGCACAAGGAGAGAGGGAACACAAGCAGGTGGAGTGGGAGAAGGAGAAGTAGGCTTCCTCCTGAGCAGAGAGCCCAATGCAGGGCTTGATCCCAGGACCCTGGCATCATGACCTGAGCCGCATGCAGACACTTAACAACTGAACCACCCAGGCGCCCCAGAAGGATGGTTTTTATTCATCTTTTTTTTTTTAAGGTTTTATTTATTCACTTGACAGAGATCACAAGTAGGCAGAGAGTCAGGCAGAGAGAGGAGGAAACAGTTTCCCCACTGAGCAGAGAGCCCGATGCGGGGCTCAATCCCAGGACCCTGAGATTATGACCCAAATTGAAGGCAGAGGCTTAACCCACTGAGCCACCCAGGCACCCCTTTTTTATTCAACTTTTGAAACAGGAGGGTGGACAGAGTGTATGGTATATAGACGCAGGTAGGACAAAAATGGAAAAACAAGGCAATTGAAGTGATAATCTTTCTGTTTTTTTGATAAAATAAGTTGTCAGGGCAAGGAGGAGGAGAAGGTATTGGAGGTTTAGGAGAAGCTAGGATTTTTTCAGAGTAGAAAAACTAGTTTACTAGGAGGATTGTTTACTAGGATTTTATAGTATTTAGAATCTATAATTAGATATTACGTAGTAGGAATATTTGTTCAAACTTTTTTAAGCCAAAACAAAGGAGTTTGAAGATCATTGTCTAAGAGGGAGGTTAGGTAGTTTAACAGGGTTGAGGCAGACAGACTCCGTGGAAGCACGTAGCAGTCTGGAGCCCTGTGCTGTTTGAGGGCAACAACTCTGTTTAATAAAGATGGGAAATTGGGAATTACAGGCATTGGTAGAGGGAGGGGGAATTTCAGATGAGTATTAACATGAAATGGTGGTGCTGGAAGGAACTCTTAGACAGTTTAGTCCATTGTGTTTGAGAGATAAACAGGAGTCTTATCACTTTAACCTATCAGGGTCTCAAAATAGAAATTTGGAGAGTAGAAATTCAGATGTGGACTTGCAGTGACACTGTGACTTTGTGTACATGCCTTCCCCACCCCTCTCCTGATTTGGCTCATACTGTTTATTTTGCCTGGATCTCCCTCTCCTTCCAGTTCTGCTTGGTAAAAACACCTCCATCCATTGAGACCCAGATCAAAAGCTACTTTCCTTTTGTGGCTGTTCACTTAAAAGTTTCATAGTTCCAGATTTACTTCTTTAGGACTCCCCAAATCCTACTCCCGATCTATTAGCTTCCCCAAACCTAGAGAATTTGGGTTAGTTTAATTATTAGCATAAGTATCTTTTGAAAGGTTAATGAGACAAGAAAACTTGAATTGATAACATCTCTACAATGAAAGATACCTAAATTTAAGAAAAATAATAAATTTCTTAAAAATCTTACTCTAACCTTACTCTTTTAACTGAGATATGATTAACGTATCTTGAAATGCTCAGTGTACCATTTAATTTCCCAGAAAGTTGCGTCATGCTTCTTCCTAATCATTCCTCCAGAAGCAGCCATAAGTTCACCATAAGTTCATTTTGCCTGTTCTGGAATTTCATATAAATGGAATAATATAGTATGTACTTTTTTTGTTTTTCCATTCAGTATAATGTTTTTAGTATTCACCTATGTCTTGTGTATCAGTAGATCATTCCTTTTTGTTGTGAATGGTATTCCTCTGCACAGATAGATCACAGCCTGTGTGTCGTCAGGGTGGCTTCTCATTTATTTTGAGTAAAGTTTCTGTGTGAACATTTTTGTAAAAGGTATTTTGTGGGCAGATTATTTCTTGGATTAATACTTAGGAATCCAGTATAAGGATTTACGAAAGTCTTGTTTATCATTTTGCCACTTGTAAATTGACATGAAACGGCTATAACTTACCAAAACATAAATAACCAAGAACCTTCATTCCCAGTGATCTGGAGACCACTTAACATCAGTGTAATGATTGTTGTGGTCTGCACCACCCTGTATAAAAATATTTTTGATTGATCGTTTATGGCCAGTCTAAAATAGAGTTCTCAAATATCAGATCTCTGCTAATCAAGATCCCTAAAACCCCACAGTTGATGACAGGCAGAGGGCTTGTTTTTAGAAACCAAGCCCTGCTAATGAAATATTATAATATAGTTGATTACTGAGTATTCCTAGTTGAGTCATTATTCTAGTAATAAAAACTTGATCATTTAGGACGATTAGGCCATGACTAATTGTTAACCATCAAAAATAGATCGGAAATTGTGGTCAGTGCTTTTACTTTAAAGGACCTGATAGACTCCCTTAGTAAAAGCGAAGAACTGCCCTCTTTGATGTACTGTCGACTGCCACAGAGAACAAAACTTGTTCTTCAACTTAGGTGTTTGGGAACAAGTTGGGTTTTTTTTTGGTTTTGTTTTGTTTTTTTAAGATTTTATTTATTTGACAGAGAGAGATCACAAGTAGACGGAGAGGCAGGCAGAGAGAGAGAGAGAGAGGGAACCAGGCTTCCTGCTGAGCAGAGAG